ATTATGGCATGATATGTTTATTGTTTACATCCTGGTAGTTAGGATGGTGATATGCTTATGCTTAGTGACCTGGTTAGGTTAGTGTCCTGGTTATAGGATGATGTTATGTTAGTGACCGGCTAGGTCTGTATCCCGGTTATTGGGATGTTGCTATGATTAGTGATCTGTTAGATCGGTTTGACTGTTATATGATATGAGCTAGCGTATGATATTTATGTGCACATGGTTGTTTGATTGGGGGTTGGGTTGAGGCGGTCATGCTTTGTGCTATAGGCCAACATACCCGGTGAGCGGTCCGGATAGGCTGTAGGCCCTGTGAGGCGGTCCAGTCATGCCGAAGGCTCGGGAGCCGTCCAGATAGGTTGTAGGCCCTGTGAGGCGGTTCAGTCCGGCTGAAGGCTCATTATGCATGTTGTTCTGTATTTGTTGATATGATATGATTATGGTTATATGAGGTTGGTATTTTGGGGGTAACTCACTAAGCCTTCGAGCTTACAGTTTCAGTTTATTGTTTCAGGTTCAGCGGATGACCGCGGGAAGGCGAAGGCATGACCGTACACTTCCTCGATTGATGATTGTGATTTCTGGGAACTCTGATGTTTAAACTATTTTGAAAACAAATTGTAATAACTGAATGATTTAAAATGATTTAAAAAGTTTTAAATTTGCTCGAATTTTATGAATGTTACACTACAGTGACACTAAAATATTAAATATGTTATAATGGGCTAAGTGACCTTAGTAACAGATGAAAACGAACTTTAAGTCCCTAGACTACAAAAAAATTAGGGACCTTTTATAACAAAATGACAGAGTTTGTAGGGTCTGAGTGATATTATCCCATAATATGTGGCTCCTCTCTCTCTCTCTCTCTCTATATATATATATATATATATATATATATATATATATATATATATATATATATATATATATATATGCTAAAGGAATAAACAAAAAAATAACAGTTTGATATAGTTGAAATTCTAACAACCATCTGGATTGACTTGTGTAGATACAATCTAGTTTGATTATAATCTCATAAGCTTCAAGGGTTTGAAGGTCTAGCAACCATTTGTAATAACCCCGAGAGGTCTCGTCGGCTCGAGTTCAAGCCTCATTCCCATTGTTCTTTGAATTTCTTTTCATATGAAGTTACATGTCATGCTACTTCAACAAAATTTCTAATTAGCGTGAACCTGAAAAAATGTAAAATAAAAAAGTTGTATAAAAATATTGGGTAATCTGGAAAAAAATATATACTTAGCATAAAACTATAAAAACTTTGTAACTTGAAGGTTTTATTGAAAATTTCACTTTAAAAAAAGGGGAGATGGTGAACAAAATAGAACTAGAAATTTGAATGAAAATTATAGGATTAAAAAAAAAAAAATACTGTAACAATAAAAAAAATTAAAGGAATTCTCGACATTATCCAGTAAATTATACAAAATATAAGAATCCTTTTCGAACCAAATTTAAGAGAATCTTCGTAACTTTTTTTATAACTTAATATTGTTAATGTTTTGTATTTGATCATTCAATCTTATTAAAACATATATCTTGTTTTTTTTTTTTAATTGACCATACAATATATATTGAATGGTCAACATAATTATATGTTTTGTATATTTAACCATTCATCTTCTAATCAGACTTCATTTAACTCCTTAATTATATTTTAGTTTTAAATATTTTTTTATTTATTTACTAATTAATTAATTTAATCAAATATTTAATTAAATTTAATAATTGAAATATAATTTTATATAACTATTTTTATAACTATGACTTATTAGACTTTTCGTCTTAATTTTTTCTAAATTGTAATATATAAGCTCTTTTTAAACAACATATAGTAAGATTTCTAATAATTTGAAGTATGATTTATGTTTAAGAAATAACTAATTAAATGAAAGAGAGGTGGGGGGGGGGGGTATTACATATTAAATATTAAAGATTAAAATTAATAGAATAATAAAATAATAATAATAATTCTAAGTTAGTGTATAGTTTTAATACTATAACTAGCAAATAAATCGCAGCTACGCCGCTTTTGGGGTAATATGGGGAAAATCGGCAAACTTTAAAAAATATGTGCTGAAAGTGTAAATCACCATAAATAGGAGAGAAAGTCGACAACCCCTAAAATTAGATGTCAAAAGTGTAGAACAACCAAAGGAAGAGACACTGGCGGAGAAAATCTAAAAATGTTGTGGCAATAATGTGAAAGTTGCCAAAGTTGGGAAAATATGGTGACAAAATTCTAAAGGAGGTTTTTTGTGTTTTTTATGTCAAAATGTAGAAGTTTTGACTATAATGACGAAAAGTGTGACATTCATTAAAGATTTGTGTCAAAAACATCAAAATATAAAACTTTTCACTGCAAGGACGAAAAGTGTCAAAGTTACTAAAGATTTGTGGCAAAACCCTAAAAGCACAAAAACTTAATTAAAACACAAAAATATAAAAAATTTGACTTTAAGACTAAAAGTGTCAAATTCACTAAACATTTGTGACAAAAACCTAAGGACATAAAAGTTACTATTGCTAACTTCCTTTAGATTTAATATATAGTATATAATTACGGTTGAAAGACTACCATGAAAACTAAAACCTGACCAAAACTAAACCAAGGTCCAAAAAGCCTCAAACAAACAAACATCATTTTAGATCATCATCATCATTATCATATGAGTTGGTCACATCATCAATCATGCCATGCCATCCACTTGAACTCTTGAGGCCATGAATTAGGCCGTGTCACTACTCACTAACGATCTTCTTTTTGTTTATTTTCGAAAATCTTGAATTCGGCTGCCGCATGAATATTTGTGTACAAAACTATCCAAATTGGCATTGTTAAATAAATTTAAAAGATATCTTGTGGATAATAAATACTTTTAAAAAGGCATTTTGGTCGTTTTTCAACTGTTATAGATATTTGTTTTCTAAAATTCGGTACAAATGTACCATCTTATCTTCTTTTTTCGTTCGATTTTGTACCACTTTTCATGTTATTTTGTTTCGATTTGTTTTTTGTCTATATTTTCATTTTTATATCGATTTCATATCTTCAGTATTATTTTTTAAGATATTTGGTTTCAGTTTTGATTTGTTTTTTATTTGTGTTTCATACCCATTTCTTTTGTATTTTGATTAAGCGTAATATTACATTTTTTTTTATAATAGAGAAAAACAAATAAAATAGAGATATATACAAGAGAGTCAATTTAACTACAGGACAAACAACTTCATCTAAAAAGCATAAATACGTGGACGGCTGAGATTGTTCCAATTGACAAGCATTGGTAGGTTACTTCTCCCATCAGTTTCCTACCTTCTCGCTGGTGGTCCACGTTTACCCTGTGTGGCCCTACACACAAGGCCCGATATTATCAATATATATAATATATATTCTTTATTTGAATGTCAAATTTTAGCTTTAAACGCTAATTACATTCACTACAATTAAAAGGGAATTAAAACTATTTGTCTTTTAAATTACTTTATGTATATTTTAATATACTTACTTCTTACTTTTTTTTTTGTTTAAAAGAAAATAAACAAGTACAAAATATAAATTTAAAGTGGTTGTTTAAAAATATAAAATCTAAATACGAAACCAAAGAGTGTTTGGACATACATTTCACTCAATAATATAATATCAGGATTTGTCATTATTTTTCATAAAAGACGTAAATTTTTACAATTTTTTTTTAAGCTCATAGTTTATCAAACATTCAAACGAATATTTTATAATTATGTATAATTTTAATCAATATAAATACATCTACATTATACTCTACAATATCTTTTATTGTAATGTATTCCAGGATTTTAGCTATTAAATATCAGATGACATATAATATTGTTTTTAAAATTGAAACAATCAAACAAATAATAACCAGATGGCTATAATACACTGGTAATAGGATAAGATATTAACATATACTAATTTTCTCTACATCCCTTATGTTTGACTTATATAATGAAGCAAATTACAAAAATTGACTAAAAATTAAAAACGCATACCATTAAAAGATCAACACAAATAAAAATATAATTTTCAAAATAAGTAATTAAAGCATTATGTTTGACTTATATAACGAAGCAAATTATACAAAAATTGACTGAAAATTAAAAACACATACCATTAAAAGGCAAACACAAATAAAAATATAATTTTCAAAACAAGTAATTAACGCTTTTGTTCTGTACGATTCTACTACTAATTTGATCGATTGAGGTAACTTTTGATTATTCTTAGGGGTGTTAAAAGAAAACCGAAACTGAATAACTAACCGAACCCAATATAAGGTTTGGGTTATTCGGTTCAGGCTTATTTGTTTTGGTCAACTGAATAAGGAAAACCTTATTTGGTTCGGATTCAGTTATTTTTCTATCTATACAGGGTTAACCGGATAATCTGAATACGATATTAAAATATTACATTAAAAATATATATATCTATATTTTAAGACTAAAAATCATTAGTTAAATAATTCAAAAAAAAGTTCAACTATGTTTAATTAGGTCTTTTTTTTTATTTTTTTTTAATCTTTAACTATCACTTTTTAGTTATCTGATAAAAGTTTTATACAAAATAAAGTATTTATCTTTTTTAGGCTTGTTATTTGTTTTATTTTTAAAAACGTTAAAAAGGAAAATTAACTGTCTGGTTTTTGAATTTTATTCAAAAACAATTAATGTTTTCTGGACTATAAATTGTTTTTTGTCATATTTTTTATTTTATAACTATTAAAATGATTTATGTTTTATTTGGCAAGCCACATGGGATAGCTATTTCTCACATTTTAAAAGCATGAAGCTTGAAGTAGACTTAATTTTTTTAGATTATTTGAAAATTTTGATTTTGAATGGACTTAGGATGATTTTGAACCAAATTATCTGATATTAGAATTATCCAAATTACCCGATACCCAATATCTGAATTACATAAACCCTAACAACCCAAAAACCGAATACCCGAACCTTAGATGGTTCAGTCTCGGTTTGTTTATGCATACCCCAAAAAATTACCCAAACCCAAAAACCGATTATCATGTAATACTTCAAAGTCGGAATTTCATTAAAACTTATATATTTTAAATCTATAATACTCAATAAATAAATAACAATGAATAAACATATTATAACGATTATTCATTAGTAAAATATTATATATTTTCTTCATGATAAAGATGGCTTTAGTTTTTTAAGATTATCAAGATTAAGTATGGAGAATTGGAGATGAACCATAAAGATATACTGAATTAAAAGAAGGTAAAGATAATCTCCCATCCCTTCTATAATTAGAAAGTAAAACACACGGGGCACTTGTCGGCTCCATTAACCCGCACCAAGATTCTTTATTAGGCACAAAAAAGTTCACTGAATCACGGACCCTTCAACTGACCACTCCTAATCAGGCGCGCACACACACACAACCCCTCCCTCCCTCACTCCCAAACGTTTTCTGTTTCATAATTCATACTGTTCATTCAACAACCAATTCAGGTAATTTTTACATTTCCTTCCTCTTTCATTTATTCTTCCACTGTTTCCGGACATGATTTTAACAATTTCCTTTTTCTGATTACTCCAAGTTCAATGAACTTGGTTGTTTTCTTTCGTTTTCTCACGTTATCTTATCGAATTCCCAGTTCTTCAAGTCATTTCACCTTCGGAATCGGGTGAAATCATGTCTTTTTTTATTTGGGTAGATTTGATGTTGCAATTGTAATTCAAAATTAGGGTTTTTGTAAACATACCGATCGTCAAAAGCTTTTTAGAATATAGTGGAAGTAAATTGCAATTTTGCTAGTATGATTTGTTGTTGGTGAGAAAGTCAATTTGATTTACAGGTTGTTTAATTTGACTTATTTTTGTTGAAACAGTAAGCTTTAACTAGCTTTCATACCGATTCCGATTCCAGAGTTTTTACGAGAGAATTATGAACTTCAAAAACTTGGGAAACCAGACGGCGGAGGTGGGGAACGGAAGACCACCAGGAGGCTTCCATTTAGCAAGACAAGGCTCGATATATTCGTTAACTTTCGATGAGCTACAAAACACCATGGGAGGTAGCATAGGAAAGGATTTCGGGTCTCTGAACATGGATGAATTACTAAAAAGCATTTGGAACGCCGAGGAAGTTCAAACAACCGGAACAAACACCGGCGTACAAGAACCCGCCGGTGATGGCGGAGCAAATATACAGCGCCAAGGATCATTAACTCTACCACGAACGTTGAGCCAAAAAACAGTTGATGAAGTCTGGAAAGGTATCTCCAAAGAATTCAACGGATTTGGCCAACCAAATTTACCTCAAAGGCAACAGACTTTGGGGGAGATGACTCTCGAGGAGTTTTTAGTCAAAGCCGGAGTCGTAAGAGAAGAACCTCCGCAATTACCTTCTAAACAAAACGACAATGGTTTGTTTCCTAATTTAACAAATCCCCAAAACAATTCCGGTTTTGGTGCTATCGGATTCCAACAAGCTCCAGCTCGGAATAGTAACCAGATTGCATTCCAGCCAGCTAATTTACCATTGAATGTCAATGGAGTCAGATCAAACCCGCAACAACAACTTTTCCCGAAGCAACCCAAGCTTTCTTATGGAGTTCCCATGGCGACGATTCCACCCAGCAAGCAGTTGGGTAGGAATGGAATCGTGGGTCTTTCCGATCCGGCGATGAACGGTAATCTTGTTTCAAATGGAATGATGGGGGCAATGGTTGCTGTAGGATCTCCGGCAGTTTCATCAGATGGAATTGGGAAGACAAATGGAGATACATCATCGGTGTCACCTGTTCCTTATGAATTTAGTGGAGCTATGAGGGGGAGGAAAAGTGGTGCAGTGGAGAAGGTCGTAGAAAGGAGACAGAGACGAATGATCAAGAACAGAGAGTCGGCTGCTAGATCACGTGCTCGTAAACAGGTTAGTGTCTTTTTTTTTTGCTCTTTTTCTTTTTAAATATATTTTTGGGAATTTATGTTATTTAGGAATTTTAGTAAAGTTTCTTTCTTTCTTTCTTTCTTTTCGGGTATTTAAATTTCTAGGCATACACCATGGAACTGGAAGCAGAGGTTTCAAAACTGAAAGAGCAGAATCAAGAATTGAAACGGAAGGTAAATGTTGCATCTTGATAATTTTATTTGAAAGATAAAGTTACAAAACAGAAATTATGTGAAGAATCTTAAATCTTAAAAAATCAGGCTTTTTATGGAATGGAGGTATCATATATATCGAGATCTTTGAGTTGACATAAGTTACATTTTTTGCAGGCTGAGATGATGGAAATGCAACAGAATCAGGTATTCAAATCATTTTTATGAGTGTTGTATGTATAACTAATGTTTAAAAAAATATTTGTAAAAATGATAGACATATTTAGGAAAAATGGAAAGGAAAAAATAGTTAAAGACTTTATTTCAATGACTTTTTGTGTTAAGTTTTTCTTTTTGTATGATAATAGCAGGTTATGGAGATGATGAACACGCAGCCTGGAGCAAAACGACGCTATATAAGAAGGACACAGTCGGGTCCATGGTAAAGGTGTGAAAAGTCTGATTTAACCCTAGTTGACCAAGGTTTGTTGGCGTTCAACAAGGGCAAAGAGGGAAGTCTTTTTTATTTGTACATATTTGGTAGAAACGGGGTTTAGCGTTTAGAATTAAGAGAGTGAGTCATATATTTGTGTAAGATCGATATCAAGCTTTTTTAAAATCCATTGTCACATGAATCAGGATCAAAAGAAATACAAGGTTAGGTTTACATATTTTTATAGGCAAAAATCTGTTTGTCATGCGTGTTGTGTTTTCTCTATGATATTTGGTATTTGATTGCAAACTCTAACCATTGTTGTGACAATATCAAAAGATTGTACACAATTTTATATTTAAATGCCAAAGAGATTTTGTGTTGATTATTGAAAAGACAAATGGGAAAGAAAATATTTAAGTTTGACAAAATATGCCAAATTTATAAAAGAACTAACTCAATCATTTTTCTGAAACAAAGGCCTGTCGGTGTACATGTTTGTATGTAGTATAAGAGTTGCCATCATAACTTGTAATACAACATAACATCGTATCCTCCTGTTTTGACCATCATTGACTTTCGTTGACCAACAACTTTAGGTGAAGAGAAAATGGCCATTCCAGTCATTTTGTATATAAATTTGTTTTGGTGGATTAACCACCCAATACAAGATTTCTTTAAAATTTGAGGTAATTAACTCATTTCTAACCTCATTTGTAAGAAAATATGGTATCATATGATTGTAACTAAAAGTCCATTGCATATCTGGTCCTTCAAAAGAATATTAGATAATTTTCTCTTTTTCTCTTGTAAATTTATGGTATCCATGTTAAAGTTTAATAGATGTAAAACAATCAAAAAGTTTGCATTAAAAATAGTAACTTTAAAAGTAGGTTGCTATTAATGGTATATAATGGGACACTTGAAAAACAAAAATCATATTTAGGTGATTAATATGTGTTTAAAACACTAATAAATTCGTTGTAAAGTGATAAGCATGAAAATTGGTTATTATTTGATAAGTTTGGAGAATCGTCGAGTATTGAATAAGCATAATTGACATTTAGGTGTATTAGGTTCGAAAATTGTCATGTTTTGAAATTATGCATGTCTTAGAATTAAAATGTGAATTTTACACTTGAGATAAAAACATGTAATTAGTAATAATCTGATCAGTGGATGACAAATACAATGTTGCACAACCGGCATTCAACAAACTTTAGTCCTGTTCTATTCTTTATTGGTTTGACTACACGAATATTCGTATGTTTTTTCATTCAATACAAACATATAATTAAGATATTGCAAAACATATTATTAAAAATAATTATTTTGTGTTTATTAACTTTGAAATAATAAATTTTTTTATATTAAGTTATTATAAGACATTGTAATTATTTTAAACATACAATAAAATAAAACATATTTAATCACATCATCTCGATAACTTTTTTCCTTTGATTAAACATGAAAATAAAAATAATTTTAATTTTAGATTTTTTTTAACTATCATGATGTTTTAGACATATTTGTTTATCACTAATCAACCAATTTATAACCAATCTTAGAATAAAATTGAAAAGTCATATGGTGAAAGAAAAAATACATCTATTATAATATATATATATATATATATATATATATATATATATATATATATATATATATATATATATAGAGAGAGAGAGAGAGAGAGAGAGAGAGAGGTTCAAATGAGAACCACAAAAGATTAAGAACCCTAAGAACCCTCATTTCATAAGTAATATGTATTGTGACTAGTAAACATGTTAAAATCCTGTTTTTTTTTTTTTTTTTTTTTTTGGTAAGAAAATGGCAAAATCGTAATTTTTTAGTCTAATATTTTCATTTATATGTTGAATTATATTTTAACACAAAATTTATATAAAATACAACTTTATAGAGTCCATTTACATTTTAATACATAAAATTCACAACTTAATACAATTTATTTTACACTAATTCACAAATTTAGAGAAGTGAAACTCAAACTCTACCACCGCTACCAAATGCCGCCACTAACCATCTGTGACACCGTTGCAACCATCCTCATTTCAAATCAAATCTGTATATAAAATCATGCAATGACAAGTTAAATACTACATTCATAGTTTAATAAACTTATTAGTTCACTCATTTTAAATTTAACACAAAACAGTTATAAAAAACAATGCATTCTTACGTACTTGTACAACATAAAAAATAAAAATATTCACAAGAACATTAATACAAAAATTCATACATAAATCATTCATATTTTACCATAATATTTATAAAAATTCACAGCAAAATGCAGTCAATTCACAACTTAATATAGTCAATTACCGTTTAATACATAAAATTCACAGCTTAATATAATAAATTAACAATTTAATACAAATAATGACATATTTTTAACTTAAAACTAACATTTATATCTTCATATATGGAGGCTAGTGCTTCTTTCAAAGTTTAATTTACACAAAACTCTTAGTTTAAATTTTATATAATTTATTTAAAATTAGAGAAAATCGTATGTATAATGCTTATTCTTCTCATATTTCATATTAACACACAAAATTCAGAAAAAAAAGTACGAAGCTTAATATAGTCAATTCACAGTTTAATATACAAAATTCATAGTTTAATAAAATAAATTCACAGTTTAATACACAACAATTATATATTCGTAGCCATATTTTCAACTTAAAACTTACATTTATATGTTCATATCTCGAGGCATTTCTATGTAATAAATTGTGAATTTATTATATTAAGCTGTCAATAAAATTACAGCTTAATACATAAGGTTCACAGTTTAATACAGTATATTCACAACTCATTTATAAATATAATTACATATTTCAGCGTATTAAACAACTCATTCACAATTTAATACATATATAAATTATCTCATATTTTATAAGCAAGCATCAAAAGAAAACATATACATGTATCATAAAAGATGATATAACTTATCTGAAATCAATGAAGAAGATGAGTGAGAAATAGAACAACCATCAACCATAGCCACCACCAACATCTTTCCCTCAAAAATCAGATCTGGATAAAAAAATCAGAATTCACAGTTTAATACCACATTTAAGACGCTAATTCACAACTTAGTTTAATACTTTAGACACTATTTCACAACTTAGCGCATAAAAAAATACACATTCACAGCTTAATAAGTTACATATTCACTAATTATATGTAAAAGGAAAAATAATGATTTAACTGAAGAAATGATAAATTTCAGTTGCTCTGATACCAATTGAAAAAAGTGAGAAAATCCAGTGAACCTTAGACTAAAAGAGTCCAAATGTTGAAAATACCGAAACAGAGTTTCAGAATCGTCAAGTGGCAAGTAATGCGGAAAATAAAAAGTTGTGAATCAACCAGTTAATGAAAAAACGTTTCTTATGCTCAAGATCAATGATTTAAAAGTGTCTCATATTCATAAAGATTCATGTTGAGAGAAAAACTTTTGAGAAACACTTGAACAAACGTTAGTACAAGTTATATATATTGTGGAATGAAGTTAATCTCAAAGGATCATAAAGCTCAACAATAATAAGTTAGAGTTGTTAGAGTTGTTAGATGCGTAAATGTAATTGCGGAAAAGTAAAGGAAATGTAAATGACAACAAGTTATATATCAAGTAAACACTAAGCTAATTCTTAACAAGGTTTGCAATCAAACCAAGTTAGTATATGTGATCAGCTTAAAGTGAATGAAGTCACAAGGACTTGCTCCGATGTAACGCCCGTGTTTCTGGGCTAAGCATTAAAGACAATGTAATAGCCTAGGTCAACTATTGTAACGTGTTTTGAAGTAATAAGAATGAATTATGTGAATTTATGTGTCTTATATTTAATTATGATGATATAATAAATTAAGGATAAAAATAAGCGTCGAAAGTAAAATGTTAGATAAAAGCCGATATCTATGAAGAAAGTTTTAGTGGTCGAAACAAGGATTCCGGAGATATAAAGAATACCGAAATCCGAGTTATAACGAAGAAGTAATGACCTGTCGAAGTTTCGCGACAGAACCGACATAACGCTGTGTGACGTAAAAAGTGAATTTACAATAAAGTGCTTTTTAGCCTTATCGATCTAAATGAAAGTCGTAGTATACGTTAAACCGAGAGCGTGCATAAAAAGAATGTCCAAATCTGACTTCGTATGAGGAAGTTATGAATTTTCTAAGATTTGGTATAACAGTATGTAGCCCGGAATTCGAATTATAGATCGAGCGATTTTTAGCCGACACAACCTAAACGAGAATTGAAGATCTCTTCGATAGTAGTTTAACGGTAAAAAGACAGACGAAAACGGACGTCGGATGAAGAAGTTATGAATTTTTAACGAACTCTTTCTGTCCCGGCCTGTTAAAAATATAACTTTAAATTGGATATAAAGAACGCCAAAAACGGAGTTCGTATGCGAAAGTTACGGATTTTTGAAGTTTGAAAAATTGTAGAGAACGGTCTCACCTACGCGTCTCACCTACGCGTGGATATAAAGAACGCCAAAAACGGAGTTCGTATGCGAAAGTTACGAATTTTTGAAGTTTAAAAAATTGGAGTACGCCCAGCGTACTCGTGTACACGGTCTGAAGTTGCCACGTCGCCTATTCTCTCGCATGCAACACCTATCTCGCACATTTGACACATCCGAAGCCACGTATCACTGTACGCCCAGCGTACTCGGTCTACGCCCAGCGTAGAGCCTCGCAAGGCAGTACGCCCCGCGTACATGAAGATTACGCCCAACATAACCTGAGGCTTCGGCCACTATAAATAGAAGTGCGAGGCTGCCCGATCTATGTTTACAAAATTTACACTTTTACACCCTAAACTTTCTTCTAAGCTATCCTAACACCCCCCAAAGTCTAGGGAACCACCCTAACACCCGAAGCAAGCCCCGGAACATCCGAAGACCCCGAGAAAAGAGTTTTTCGAGTCGAAACTCTGGCCGCGCAGAGCCCGGTTTTTGAGAAAACATCCCGGTTTCATAAAAAAAAAGATTGTTTTAAGGGATGAAGTGATGTCGAACCGCCGTCTTATCAGGTGAGTGTATAGTCACTTTCATCTTACACGTAAATATGAAATATTTTATATAAAATACGTGCTATGTGTATATATGTTGTTTGTTTATTTGAGATGAATGTTGAATGAATGTTTTATACATGTTTAGAATGATTTAAACTGTATATATGTAACTTTTTTTATCTACAAATATGTTGGGTATAACATGGGTAGATGAAATAGT